AAAAAGCATCTCAGTGCTCCTAATTGCATAAAACTGGAGGAAGGCACATGCCACCTCCTTCACCTGGAAATACCCCTCATCGTTTTAGCCCCGCCCCCACCTCGTCTCCTGCTGTGGAATGCAATAAGAGAGATGTGAATGTGTTTTATGTCGACGTCTTTTGGCATTACAGCAGAAATGCACAACAATAAGCTTAAATGTGGTGAGTGAGCTGCACAATCTGTACAAAGAGGTATTAACTCGGTCTGTGGCTTAAAGTTTGCTTTTGTCTCACACTTAATAGCTGTTGTAACTTATGTCTTTTAGAAAGACAACTTGATTTTGCTTGTACGCTTTTTATGTATTTTTTACAAGTGTAAATAGTTGTTCTATTTTTGTTTAAGAGAATGTTTAAAAAAGGAAGAATATGAATTTGGACAATGAATAAAATGTTAAGAAAGAATTGTGCGTTTTCTTTTTGGCACTGAAAAGTCATAATAGACATCACACCCTTAAGGTCTTCCAAACTGCACTACATCTCCTAAGAGCCCACTCAACAGTTGTTCAGGTATTTCACTCTGGAAAGATTTAACAGGATCAAGCCAAATGCAGCTACGGTAATATTTTTGGTGTAGGTTCCACCTTCTTTTGTACTTGACCCGACCTCTCCTAGTGCTGCTCAGATGTCCTTGCTGCTTCTCGGCCTTCTGCTGCGTTAAGCACGCCATCAGATGTGAGCAGGGCAGAGAGCAAGTTCCTTTTATTACTCATTAAAGGTTTAGTGTCACACAGAGGTGCGTGCTGGTTTTTATTGATTTATTTTGATACTGTAGTGGTCTGCGTCTTTGAGAATTCAGCTCAGAAGATAATTAACTTGTAAAGCACAGTAGCTGAAAAGCACTACGAGGTGGTGCCTCGCTTCCTTTCAGTTACGTTTAATACGATCAGCATCTACACTCGCTGGCCATGTCTGCTGCTTGTTAAAGCAAACGTCTAATCAGCCAATCCCACAGCAGCACCTCGACACATTTAGGCTTGTAGAGATGGTCAAGTCGATGTGCTCAGGTTCAAACGGAGCATCAACATGGAGATAAGTTGATTTGCGTGACTTTGAAAACGGCTTGGTTCTTAGTGCCTTACGGGCAGAATCTGCTGATCTTCTGGGATTTTCTTGTATAAACGTCTCTAGTGTTTACAGAGAATAGTCTGAGAAACAAAGTATGCTGTGAGCAGCAATTTTCTGAGTGAGAATAGTTTGATGACAGAGGTCAGACTGCAGGAAGGCAACATTAATTAAAATAACCACTTGTTACAAACCATTATAGAGGAAGAGCATCTCTAAACAAAAATCATGTCCCATCAACTGAATTTACCAAAGGTGGACTCCAATCAGGTTGTAGAACCATCTGATCAGTGGAAACAGGATGCACCTGAGCTCAATTTGAGTGTCAAGGCTGTGAACACTGGTGTTCATGTTATATAGTTTTGTTTTTTAATTTTTAATCAATTTACAAGAGTTTCAAGCTATCTTTTTTCACTTTGTCATTAGAGGGTAATCTGGGCAGAATTTTGAGATGAAAAATAAAGTTAATCCATTGAAATAGGGTGTAAGATGAAAAGAACAAGTGAAAAGTTGTGATTTCTTTCAGTAGAAAGAAAGGATAAATAGGTTCACTTTTATGACCAAAAGGGACAAATTCAAGTGATGCTGGGTAAACTTTTGCTTCTGTTTTTTTTTGTTTTTTTTGTTTTTTTTAATTAAAAAAATAAACTTTTGCTTCTGTGATAAAGTTAGAATGATGCGTAATGGAGACGGGGTTAGCCTGGCGGGAGGAAAAGTGTGTTGACCAGCATGTTCAAAGAGCTCAACTCGCCACTTCAGAGAGAATATTCCACAACTACAAGAAAAGTGAAAGTTCAGCTTCAAGAGGGATTCAGCTAGAAATGAGCTGGTAAAATTACACACAGCTTCAATTATACATCACAAAAGGGC